CTTCTTTTCTCTTGCTGCTTTTAAGATTCTCTCTTTATCTCTAACCTTTGGCATTTTAATTATGATGTATCTTGGTGTGTTTCTCTTTGTATCCATCTTGTTTGGGACTCTCTATGCTTCCTAGACTTACATGTCTATTTCCTTTACAAAATTAAGGTAGTTTTCTTTCACTATTTTTGCCAAATAGATTTCCAATTTCTTGCTCTTTCTCTTCTCCTGGCACCCCTATGATGTGAATGTTGGGCCTCTTGAAGTTGTCCCAGAGGCTGTTTATGCTATTCTTGGCGGGGGGCGGGGGGGTTGGATTCTTTTTTCTTCTTGTTCTGATTGGTTGTTTTTTGCTTCATTATGTTCCAAATAACTGATTTGATTCTCAGCTTCATCCACTCTACTGTTGTTTCCCCTCTAAATTGTTCTATTTCAATGAGTGTATCCTTTGTTTTTGACTGGATCTTTTTAAGGTTGTTGAAATCCTAACCTCCTTGAACATCCTTATAAGCAGTGTTTTGAACTCTGCATCTGATAGATTGCTTCTCTCCGTTTTGTTTAGTTCTTTTTCTGGAGTTTTGATCTGTCCTTTCATTTGAGCCATGTTTGTCTTCTCATTTTAGCAGCCTCCCTGTGCTTGTTCTATGTATTAGGTAGAGCTGCTACGACCCACACTTGGTAGTGTGGCCTAATGTAGCAGGTGTCTTGTAGGGTCCAGTAGCACAGCCTCCCCTATCACCCAAGGTGGGTACTTGAGGTGCGCCCTCAATGTTGGCTGAGTACACCCTCTTCTTGTAGTTGAGCTTTGATTGCTGTTGAAAGGTCAATGGGATGGATTTAACCAAGCCAGTCAGCTACGAGGAGTAGCTGTGATCACTGATGACCAACTTCTGCCCTCTGCGGAGGATAAGCTGTGCAGGGGCAGGGTGATGGTGCTCCTACATGGTCTTTAACTGTTCACTGGGTACACAGGCTCTGAAGTTTCCCAGGTGGCACTGGCCAAGGTCAACCCCTCCTGTGTTCTGCCCAGGGCCACCCTGAAAGCGCTATAAAGCAATCTGTGATGGCAGCTACTTGTGCTGGGGTTGGAGATTCCCAGGTGAAGCCAAGCTGTTAATCTAGGCTGGCAGCCACTAGTGCTGGGCCTGGGGCCACTAAGCAAGTGGTGGAGGGGCTGGGTGTTCACTGAAGCTGGCTGTTGCTTCTTTGATAGGGTTTAGAGAAGTTGTGCACAATGAGGCAAGACCAGCTATTCATATGGAAAAGTCAGAGTTAACAGTTTGGGTGGGCCCATAAATTGGATGGGATAGAGTCTCAGGGGATCACCAGGGCAGGGCAAACAGTGTTAGCTAGATTGATGGAGTCTCATATATGGCACTTGCCTTCTGGCTCTGTGTTGGGGGAGGGCTCAGAAAAGGGACAGTGGACTCTGCCTGACTTTCTGTGTGGGAGAAAGCTGTCCTCCAACTCCTGCCTTGCTGCCAGATACTTCTGTTCCTCCCTGTATGCCACTGGTGCATTTCAAGCTGCTCTCCCAGTGCTGAAGCTCAGAGGGAGTAAGTGTGAGTAAGTCCGTGTGTGGGTTCAAGAGGAACTGCTTGGGACTCTATAAGTTTCTTCCACCAACTCAATCCCTGCTGGTTTTTGTAGCCAGAACTTATGGGGACTTATCTTCCTGGCACTGGAACCCTAGGATGGTGGGTCTGGGACTCCTTGCTCCCAAGGTATCCCTCCCGAATTTTTAGCCACCACCCATGGATGCGGGACAGCCAGTTCCACATCTCCACTCCTCCTACCAGTTTGAATGGATGTGGTTTCCTAAATTCCATAGTTGTGATACTTTCATTCAACTTGATTTTGACAGTTCTGTGTGATGGTTGTTCTATATTTTAGTTGTAATTTTGATGTGGTTGTATGAGCGAGCAAGCCGTGTTTATCTACACTGCCATCTTTACCAGAAGTTAATGGGTCATTTCTAAGACAAAATGTATGAAAGCATGCATGGTAATATTAAACATAATATTGAAGATGTGAGATAATTTGTAGGAGGAAGAAAGTAGAAAAAAATTTTGGAAGTGTCAAAAGGCTGTTCAAATACATCTGTAATATGTTAAATGAACAAAGGAGTCCTTGGGCCAGGACAATCGATAATCTTATTCATTCATAGAACAAGTATAAAAGACTGAAGGTATATCACCCAAACTTTCAATTCAAAAAGTTAGAAAAGGCTGGCTCAGCAAACTCAAGGTTTAATGTAGAAAAATGAAGAGGAGGCTAGCTGACCAAACAGCAAAGCAACCAATCCATGAAATACCACCCACCACTGTAACTTGAACACAAATAAAATCTCTGGCAGGTAGTTTTTGAAAAGACAATGGAATAGATAAATTTTGACAGCAAAAAAGAGAATAGGAAAAACAAATAAGAGGAGAATGTAGGAATTACATTATTATATAATACCATTACATTAAAAACCTGGACTGAAATGGATAACTTTCTAGAAAAATGTAATTCATAAAAATTGGCCTAAGAATAAATTTTTAAATGGAATAAACCAGTAACAATAATATAAATTAAAGATAGTAGTAATAATTTATACCCACAAGAAGTACCAGGGTCACAGTGGTTTATGGGTAAATCATATTATACCGTTAAGGAGCAGCTAACTTCCACTTCAAAGGAACTACTCCAGAGCAGACAACTCATTGTGCAAAGTCAGATGTCAAAAAAGTCAAGGTCAGCTATCAAAATTCTAGATCCATCTTACCATTATAGGTAGAAAATCTCTAAATATAAACTTTAAATTGTCCTTTTTAGTAGAGAACAATTTAAACTTATTTAGAATAATACACCCTAAGGATATCATATAAGTGGACTCATACAGTATATGACTTTTTGTGACTGGCTTATTGTACTTAACACAATGTCCTCAAGGTTCATCCATGTTAGAATTTCTTCCCTTTTGTAGGCTAAATAATATTCCATTGTATGTGTATGCCATATTTTGATAATCCATCACTGGTCAGTGGGTGCTTGGTTTGCTATTGTGAATAATGCTGCTATGTGCATGGTTGTGCAAATAACTGCTTCAAGACCCTGCTTTCAAATATTTTAGGTATATGCCCAGAAGTGGAACTACTGGGTCAAGAGATGATTCTATTTTTAATTTTGTATGAATTTCCATACTATTTTCCACAGCAGCTATACAATTTGTTTGTCCCCCATTTCCGGCATTCTGTCTTACATTGTGTTTAGTTGATTTTTTTTGTAGTGAAGTGTTTAAATTCCCTTAAATTATCCTTTTGTATATATTCTGTAGCTACTTTTTGTGGTTACCATGGGGATTACATTTACCAGCCTAAATTTTAACTTGTAGCAGCTTACCTTCAATAACATTTTCTAAAATTAAGTAAACAAGATTTTTAACTTTCTTAACCTGGAATGAGATACCAATCTAAAATCTCTGGACCAAACCACAAACTTAATAGTAAACCATTAGGAATGTTTCCATGAAAATGAAATAAAATAAAAAGAGATCTAATGTAATTTCTACTGGAGTTGCCAACCAATGCAATAAGAAAAAGAAATGAGATAAAATATAGTAAAGGAAGTGATGAAACAATCTTATTTGAAGAAAAACATGATTTTAAAATATTTAGAATAGTCAAATAATCAATTCACAAGCTATTAAAAATTAGTTCGATAAGGTGGCTGGAAAGAAGGTCAATGTACAAAAATCAATTGCTATGACTGATTAGCAAATGCAATTTAAAAGTATCTTTCCAGGTCCAACCATGCTGTCACAAAGGGTAAAATTTTCTTCTTTACAGCAGAGTAGTATACCATTGTGTAAATATCCCATAGTTGTTTTATCTACTCATCTACTGATGGACACTTGGGCTGCTTCCATATCTTGGCGATTATAAATAATGCTGCAATGAACACAGGGGTGCTTATGTTCTTTCAAATTAGTGTTCTGGTTTATTTGGATTAATTCCCAGAAGTGGAATCACTGGGTCACAAGGCAGTTCCGTTTTTAGTTTTTGGAGGTACCTCCATACTGCTTTCCACAGTGGCTGCACCAATCTGCATTCCCACCAACAATGCACAAGGATTCCCCTTTCTCCACATCCTCACCAGTACTTGTTGTTTGTTGATTGATAACAAGCAAAATAGACACAGACTCATAGAGAGCACGCTGACAGCTTTGGCGGGGGGATTTAAGGAGTAAAGAGATGGAGCAAAAAGGAAAAAAGACTCATGGATATGGACAACAAACAGTGTGGTGATTGCAGGGCGAGGAGGAGTATATAAGGTGGGTAAATGGTAATGGAAAAAATACAATTAAAATTATAAATAAATAAATAAATATTTTTTAAAAAACAAAAAATAAAAGAATCTTTTACTTAGGCATAAAAATTCTGAAGTACCCAGGTACAAACCTAGAAAGAAAAACAAAACTTTTATGCAGAAAATGAGAATAACTAATAGTTTTAATAAGCTGAAAAGGTTACTTCTAAGTTAAGTTTACAATCTTTTTTATGATATATATTTTTAAAGATTTTATTTATTTATTTTTAGAGAGGGAAGGGAGGGAGATAGAGAGAGAAAGAGAGAGAAACATCAATGTGTGGTTGCTGGGGGTTATGACCTGCAACCCAGGCATGTACCCTGGCTGGGAATCGAACCTGCGATGTTTTGGTTGGCAGCCCGCGCTCAATCCACTGAGCTACACCAGCCAGGGAAGTTTACAATCTTAAGAAACTTTAATGTGAAACTAGTGGTTTTGATATACTAAATATTATTTCCACACTCAAAGCAGAAGTGACTACTTCTCTGTATGCAACAAAGCCAGCCAAGGATAAAAAAAACTCCACACTGGCAGAAAAAAAAATAGTGATTAACAGATCGGAATTCCAGTCCCCAGGTGCCTGCAACCCTGTAACTGACAAAACACTTTCTTTCCTGTAGTGCCATAGAGCAGGTACTGATGCTGCACTTTGTTCTCTTACCTTTTTGGGAGATGAATCCCCATCCTGTAGCCCAGCAGGTAAGGTTCTGAAGGCTCACGTCTGGGGTGGCAATGCAGATGGGGAGTACAGCATCAGAAAACACAATGCGAGTTTTCAGTTGCACTAGAGCAACGTCACCTCCGATAGGGTGGTGTGCTTCATATGTGTCATGCAGGATCACCTTATTCACCTCAAACCACTGGGTGTGACTGCTTGCAACCATGAGGTCCACAAGGCCCACATACATATCATAGGCCTCCATATCCCTGTTCCTGTGGGGACAGAGAACAAAGGCACTGTGGCTCAAGTACCTTGAACCTAGGGAAGCGCCACCATTAGCTCACAGACACAGGCAGGTCTGGAGCTCTGGAGGCAGGCAGCCTGGTGTCCCAGCTCTCAGCCAGGATGGGGAAAAGCAATTCCTTGCAAGACAGTGGGGACTTGGTTGTCTGCAGAGTTGCCCCCAACGAAGTCCTGACCTGGGCCCATGGGTGGTGGGGGAAAACATCAGGACCTACTGGCCACCAGCAGCCCAGGATGGTGAGCTTGTCAGGTGTACAGAGGACTGTTTAGAGGCCTCTGCTCAGCTCTCATCCCGTTGTACCACTCCCCGCCTGCGCCCACCACATTTGTCTCCTAGCTTGTCATCCTGTAGTGAGTCTCCCCTCCTCTGATGGGTCTCCTTACCTCTTAATCCTCTGATGGGTCTCCTCACCTCCCCTCTCATCCTGTGACTTGGTTCCACACCCGTCTAAAGACGCAGACGGCCCTGAGGATCCCTCCACTGCCCGGGGCAGGCAGGAGCTACAGCGCGCTGAGCTTTGTGGGCCCCAGTCTCTCTCTAAAGCTAAGAAGTCTTGCTCCATGTGTCTCCAGAGCAAGCCTCCCGCACTGGGCCTCCCTGGAACAGCCCTGGCACCACTCACTCACCTGCCGAAGCAGTGGGCTGCCGACAGGACCCAGTACTCATCGATGATGGACCCACCGCAGATGTGGAAGCCCCTGTAGTGCACGCTGACCTGCCATGGCCACTTTTTCTCCGGGGCGTCCATACCGCCCAGGACCTTTCCCTGCACATAACGCTGGCCACAGGCTGCGTGGAGCAGAGTGGTGTGCATGAGGGGCAGCTCCGCGGGGGCTGGCCGGCCTCCGCTAAGGCAAGTGGAGGGGGGAGGGGGGGAGGGGGGTGTCAGGGAGCAGAGGAGAGAGGAGTGTAGGAGAGCGGGGTGGCGAGGTGGTAAGAGAGGGTGAGGGAAAGGGCCTCTGATGTGGTGGGGTGGAGGAGGGAAGCACCATACTGCCCTCAACCACTGCCTACCCATGTCACGGCTCAAGGTGAGACCCTCGCCGTTAGGGGGCCTGCGCAACGTGGCTGCGTCCCAAGAGGAGGGTAGAAGTAGTTGCAGCAGCAGCTGCAAGAGGAGGGTGGAGACTGTGTGCGAAGGTTCAGGCCCAGCATAAGAGCAGAAGAGCAGGGAAGCCATGCGGTAGAGGACCCGGTACAAGGGCGGAGCCACTGCTCTCGCAATGGCTACCGGCACTTGACGCCTGTTGGCGCCAGAGCTTGAGCAGGAGAGGCGTAAGGGCTGGCGCACGCGCAAGCACCTGACCACACGGATGCGTCCGCATGCGCACATGCAGGAACCGCCCGCACAAGCTGGAACTGCCCGCACGTGTTCCCCTGCCCTTTAGTCTTTATGTGTTAGGGCACCCACTAGAACAGTGGTCAGGGGTCTCTAGTGACCTAGGAACACGTGCCGAAAAGGCTGTGGTCTGTGTTCTCCAATGGTTTCGCTCTGGTGAGCTGGCTAGCTCTTGGCTGATACAATAGGGATAACTTCCCACAGTGTCTTCCAACATGCAGCCAGCAAGACCGGGTTTGGTCATATGTTGCTGTATAACAGAAATGTGCAAGCGCAATTGCTCATGTTGATTGTATGTGCTAATGCGACATTGAACAAAGCAAGTTATACGATCATCAAAGGAAAGTACATGATACCACTGAACCCTGTGAAAACTTCAGAGCTCTTTCTTTTGTGACAGTAGGTACACAAATGAACAGGACTGTGTTCTGATTAAGACCTCATTTACAGACACCAAAATTTGAATTTCATTTGATTTTTGTATTTCATAAAATATTCTTTTGTTTTTCCCCAATCATTAAAAAAATGTAAAAACCTTTCTTGGTTCATGAGTTTTACAGAAATAGTTTGCCTGCCTCTGGGTGTTTCATATGAGGGGGGACCCCTCAAAAAATGGAATTTATTTATAAAAAAGTATGTATTTATTATTACATGTTTAAACTTTAGTCACCTTCAAAGTACTCTCCATCTGATGCAATACACCTATCAAGATGTTTTTCCACTGCTCAGAACGTTTTTGAATTCATTGATTTTGATGCCTTTTAGTGCTTCTGCTGTTTTTTGTTTCACCTCTTCTACATTGGCGAAATGTTTCCCTTTGAGGAGTTTTTGCATCCTGGGAAACAAACAAATAAAAAAGTCACTTGGGGTGAGACTGGGTTAATAGGGAGGGTGGGGCACAGGGTGAGTTGTGTGGTGTTCGGTCAAAAACTGCTGAGCATGGTGTGGGTAGGTGTGCTCGTAAATCCCCCATCAGGAAATGTGCAAACACATTGAAAGAGTCTTAAAAAAATTTAACTCAAGTCAAACACAGCCTCTCACAACACCAGCTGGTACACTGGTATAGATAGGTTCCTAAGACACTCAAGCAGGGGAAGCCTGTACTACAAAGGAGTCTGCACTACAGGAGATAATCCTGGTTTTTCGGGTTCCCCACAAGGACTGTCTAGAAGAAAACCAGCCATTGTTATGGATTGTACAACACTGATGTAACCTGGCAGCCAAGGAGAGTGGACAGGAATGCACATACATGAACAATAATGACTTCACTATACTAGTAGTGGGAGCAGTAGATGCCATTGAGTGAGCATGTGTACTGTGTGGCCATAACATTTAAAATGACTGAATAGAGCAATGAATCTGAATCAAACTTTGGGTTAATTTTGAATGTTCCTACATGGAAACTACTGCGATGATTCGTAAGGCCACAGCTATGGACAAATGGTGATTGGCAACTTCATCATAACAATGTGCCTGCTCATGCATCACATCTCCTGTAGAATTTTTTTTGTGAAACATCAAATCAACTGGGTGATTCAGCCCCTCCACAGCCCAGATTGGACACCCTGAGACTTCTAGGTTTTCCCAAAACTAAAATCGCCTTTGAAAGGGAAGAGATTTCAGACCATGGATAAATTTCAGGAAAATATGAGGAGGCAGCTGATGGTGATTGGGAGAACTGTTTGAGGTCCCAAGGTGCCAGCTTTGAAGGTGGCTGAGGCATCATTGTCCTATGTACAATGCTTTTTGTACATTGTATCTTCTTCAGTAAATGTCTCTATTTTTTATATATGTGGCTGGATACCTTCTGGACAGATTACACACACACACACACACACACACACACTCACGTATTTATTTAAATATATTTTATTTTTTATAGGAGTTTTGGGTTCACAGCAAAATTAATAAGATACAGAGGTCAATAATGGGGGAGGCTATACATGTGTGGGACCAGAGGGTATTGGGAAATCTCTGTACCTTATATTTCTTGATATTCATCCCTTGTCTTTTACAGATGTTCCCTGACTTACAATGATTTGACAAGGATTTATTTGACTTTACAACAGTGTAAAAGTGATACCCATAAAACCATTCTTCTTTTCTCTTTCAGTACAGTATTCAATAAATGCATGAGATATTCAATACTTTAATATAAAAGAGCCTTTGTGTTAGGTGATTTTGCCCAATTGTAGGCTAATGTAAGTGTTGAGTATGTTCAAGTTAGGTTAGACCAGTGATTTTAAATTCACAACACACACACTAATTACTCAAATTTTGCATCCCACTAAAAAATATGTTTTGCTTATTTGATTAAAAAAATAGGCATAATTTTGATTCATTCACACCAAACAGCTATCATTGTGTTGGCTATTGCCATTTTTTAATTTGACAATCCAGGTATTGCATATTTTAAAAATTCATGTAGCATACTGATTGAAAATCACTGGGCTAGGCTAAGCAATGATGTTTGGTAGGTTAGTTGTATTAAATGCATTTTTGATTTATGAGATTTTCAACTTATGATGGGTTTATTGGGATGTAACATCATCATAAGTAGAGGAACATCTGTAATGCTAATAATTTCTCTTTGTTCATTGTTACTTGCACTTTGATATGTTTAAAGTGTGTTCATAATTGCTCAATGGAGAATTTTTATGATGGCTGCTTTAAAATCTTTGTCCAATAATTCTGTTGATTGCCTTTTCTTATTGCAGTTGAGGTTTTTCTAGTTATCAATGTGACAAATAGTTGTGGACTATATCATATGCATTTTGAGTATAATTTCATGATGCTGTGGTTTCCACTTAAGTCTATTTTAGCAGGCAGTCAACCTGTTAAGTTCAGAATGCATATCCTGGCTCACTGTAGTGGACTGTGGTTCCAATGGCAGTTTTGTTTATAAAGTTCTGCAGGGGGCTGTTGCTAAGCATTCTATAGTGCACAGGACATATTCAAGAGAAAAAACTTTTCCAGCCCCAAATGTCAGTAAAGCTGAGGTTGAGATATCTTGGCCTGCAGGCTTGACTGGGGCCACCTTGCTGCAGGGGAAGGGCTTGCCTTCCACCATCTCTTCAGTGCCTTTCAGAGGACAGAGGGATGCAGCTTTCCTCGTGTTTGCCTCAAGAACAGAGCAGGTTTCTTTCAGGTTGGGCCACCCTTTCCTGGACTTTGGCTTTTCTTCTGGCCAGTGTGTGTGTGTGGGTGGGTCGGGGGGGCGTTGAATCTGTTGGCATTTCCAGGTTGCAGACTTCTGTAATCCTGAGTTGGAGCCACGGGGAGAAGAAACACCCCAAGAACTCCCCACTGGGATCTTCTGGTCCAGAAGTCCCAAAGCTAGTCTACCTTCTTTTGTTCACCTTTCAGAATCTTTCAGTAGGTGACTTGTGGTGGTGTGATTAGTGGCAGTAGTAAGATGGAATGTATTCATTGTTCTTGTCTTAAATCTTAAAAAACTGGAAGTACTTTGTAGCTTTAAATTTTTTCTTTTCCCAGCTGAGTTTGTTTCTCAGAAACTGCCATTTTTCCTCTTAATTGAGCTGGTATTTATTTTTCATGTTAGAGGCCCTTCTTGAGATCTGACATTCCTTTGTCTTCTGTTGGAAATCACAACTGTTAGAATAAAAAGGAATTGGAAGCTCTGCGCTGTGGACATTGCTTATTTACTTGGAGCTCCCTAGTGAGAGAAGTGGGTGAGTCATTGGAGCTGCTGATATCAGTATCTCTGTGACACCTCTCTTGGGCGTGTCAGCATCACAGATGATCAAAAGACCTTTCCTGCACATCTGGGGTCTCACTGCAGTGCTCTAGCAGCTTAAGTGGAAGGTGTCTATGCCTAAACATTTTGCATTAAGTATGTTCACCATCTCCTAACCATCCAATGTTGGCACCCAGGCCTTAAACTGTGTCTGGGACTCCCCACGAGGGATCACTTGTTTCACTCTTTGCAGAAAATGAAACTCCAGATTTCTGCAATAGGAAGGTAGACTAGTCCAGAAGTATGGTGTGGGGAGAAGACTTAGGGCTATAGTAATTGCGATCAAATAGTTCCTGCCCCAAAGACTCCTAGGGTTAGCATTCCCTCCCATTGTCAGATCTAGACATACTGGTTCTTTTTGAGAAGTCTATGCTATAGATCCTGAGGTTTTCAGCTTTCTTTATAGCTCACTCAATTCTGTTAGGTCAATTACTATTTCTAGATATGCCATCCAGCCATCAAAACCTTTTCTGTTAAGGTGTAACTTACACACAGTAAAATTAATCTAATTATACAAGTTTTGACAGCTATACCACCAGCACAGTCAAGCAATAGAAGAGTATCACTGTCCCCAGTCCCCTGTGCCCTCTTATAGTCAAACCCTCCTACCCCCAGCCCCCTGAAATAATGAATCTACTTTTCCATCCACGTAGTTTTGCCTTTTCTAGAACATCATTTATATCATCTTTAGAGTCTGGTTGCCTCTACTTAGCATAACACATTTGAGATTCATCCATAGGATGGCCAGTAAAACCAACTTGGCCTCAGATGTTATTTTCTAAAAGGTTTTTAACTACGAATTTGACTTCTGTAATACATACAGGACTGCCCAGGTAATTCGTTTCTTCTTTACTGAGTTTCAGTACTTTGTGTCTTTCAAGAATATTATCCTTTTCACTTGAGTTGTTGAATTTATGGGCATAAAGTTATTAGTAAATATTACCTTTTTGTCCTTTATATGCCTGTAGTAATGACCCTCCTTCATTTCTGATATTGGTGGCTTCTGATTATTGCTTTATATACATGTATGAAGGCTATTGTTTCTTTGTTTTTGTATACCGCTTTACTGGATTTTCTTTCAATTTGTGATAAGATTGATTCTTTCACATTGATTCTCTTTTTGCTATTGAGTTGTAAGATGTTTATAATTTTTTACTTTTTTAAATATATTTCATTGATTATGCTATTACAGTTTTCCCATTTTCCCCCTTTCACTCCCCTCCAACCTGCACACTCC